TGCGTCCCTTGGGCACGCCAGAAACATATGATTGTGGGTTCGAATCTCGGTTCGCCCCGATTATGTTTCTAGGTTTGTCAGCACCATGCCCGTGTTCGTGGGTTTCACCGAAGCGGTAAACGTCTGAGACCTGCATCACTTCGGGCTTTCCTCCCACATTAAGCTGACACGCCGCGATATAACTGGAATACTGTTAAAAGCGACGTTAAACCTTACTCACTCACTCACTCACTCACTCACTCACTCACTCACTCACTCTGCAGCGGTTAACGAGTTTGGGTACATAATTTCTCTTGAGCGGGGGTCTCAATATTATGTTGGGTGATTAACGTTAACGGTCAAGGTCACATTGCTCAAACACATCATGGAATATTTTCTGTCAGCATTTGTCAGTCAATAAAAGAGAAAGAACATAACATAACCCAAGCAACAGATAAACTTTAAACACAACAGGTAATAGATAACAAGTAACACACATTGGATGCTGTAATAACCGTTGTCACCACATATCATGTATATATAACGGTGTAAGAAGCTAGAACAATGAAGTTATCCATAAAGTTGTATGTTTTCTTAATTCACCATTATCTCCTCCAAACCTCACTATACGCTCCCCCGTTATCGCAATTTAAATAACGTGAAATCCACCAAACTATGATAGGACGCCACACACGCGCGCACTAAAATACCATATTAAAACTGCTACCTAGACTCTAGTGGAATGCAAATGTCATCAGACCTAAATCCCATGAAATAAAACCACTAATAAAACTAAATTAGCTCAACCCACAAATACTAGCCATTTAAGAATATATAATACCAAAGAATAAACACTTCACTATAACAAATTACACCGCAATAAATAGTAACCGCACATTAGAAACTGAAAAGGCTCCACATGGCGGCCTAATCATACTGATGCACGACTCGCTCAGTTACCAACAAGTGCCAATAAACACACCCCACTGAGAAACACAAGCATACACAATCTCGAAAGAAAACACAAATATGACATTAGTTTACATGTACTACCAACCACAAACCCTATCGACAACACAGACCTTGAAATCGTAGCAAAACATGTCACAAAAGTTGTTTAGGAGACTTGTGGCGCATCACTATAGACATGTATTCATCTCAGATCATGTAGTCATAAGCTTTGGTCATATTTAACGACGATCTCCTGCCTTATTATGTCTTTAGCAGACGGCTCAGTTAGATTTCATTTCAGTTAGATGCTTTTTCTTCTTTACCGATACTCTCTGAATTGTTGTCCCTTTTGCTGTTGTCCCTGTGCATGTCATTTGCTGCGCATGTTGGTACATCTGATATTGACAGACCAATCAAGGATTGACGAGCTGCATATCTGTACATTAACTATATGTCAAGGGGAAATGTATTCCTGTCAAAAATGCTGCTGTCCAAAATTTGAATAGTGTTTGAGTAGATGTTTTCTAGGGACCAGGGACCCGTTTCACAAAGAGATCGTAGCACTAAGACGGTCGTAAGTCTTTGTTAAAGTATAGGAGTTACGGTAGTCGTAGCGCTACGATCGCTTTGTGAAACGGACCCCTGGTCACTGTTGCCCATTTCAGTATCAACATAGTCTTCCAATCATTTGTACATCGACTTAACTGTAGGCTCTGCATGATCTAGATCGTTTTTAAGCCCGTTCCACTGAAGAGTATTATTTTCTTGAAGATTCTTATTTTCCAGTTCATACTTCTCGCGAACTGGTAGAAGTTCATCATGGGCATCAGCAAAGTTGCCCACCAGAGATATTCTTGGCAAAATAGAAGCTAATGTTGCACCTGACCTGAAATCACGTAGAGCCCCACGGTGATTCATTTCACGCTGAGTTTCAAGTGCACTATTAGCTTTGCGTCGTCCATGTCAAGTGGAGAACACACGTTTCTTCACACGTTGCCTGAATGAACCTGCAGAGGGATGTTCATTGAGCAACTGCAAGCAGAATGTTGCATTTGATGAGGCCAATTAAGAAGGCACATCTTCTCAGCAAGTGAAATGACAACAATTTCATCACAGTGCTTCATGTCACATTTGCACTTTGTTGTGATTTCTCCATGATGAAATGCTGATATTGTCTCATTTATAGCTTTATGTGAACCTGGACTGTTGAGGGTTCTAAGAAGGAGATTTCTGTTCTGAAGAAGTTATGTTGGTCAGTTTAAGACTTTTCAGAAAGAAGATCATGCAAAAATCATGGAATGTCATCGACAGTATTTTGATGTTTTGTGTAACGTTTTCAATGTAATCAATACTGTTGACCTTTAGCCAGTCACTCTCAGAGTCTTCATATACATAAGAAGCTGTGTTAATCAAGAAGTGTTAAAGGCACTGCAAAGGTCGATGTTTGTTTTTTATTTCCGTAGGTGTAGTAAAGGACAACCGGGAAGAACCCTTCTGTACTGTATGCTGTCCGACATTAATTTCAGTAGATTGTTTCCAATCTTATGATCTATGGCCCATGTCGGACCCGGGGTAGAATGTGTCCCCAGCACCCTATTGCTGGTCGTAAAAGGCGACCGAATTGGGCAACCCGTTTGCCGTGGGTTGCGCCCCTGAGTCGGTGGAGGAACGGATTCTAGTAGTTGAGGGCACAGGTTCCTGGTACACGGTTCCTTTGCCCAACACACCACTGTGACCCTGACTTCAACAAGACGGATGGCAGAATAGACTAGGTTCTATCAATCGGTTGGTCAGGCCATGCCCTGTGTATGAAACACTTACATATTGAAAATATTTCGATTTATTTCAATCTTGGGTTTGGATTTTATCAATGGAAATTCTAAGATTAGAATTTGCCTTGAGTCCCATGCCAGAATGGATGATGGGCCAATCTAGTACTGTCGACCTCTGAGTTCTGTATGTCTCAAATTTCGTGTCATGGGCCGAACCAGCCTGGCATTTTATCTGGTGGACAAATACAGCTATTCATGTTGTTTTAACTGGAATATACCACCTTTGTATTCCTGGTGTTGGAGATCCGGTGCAGTTAAATATCGCTCTGTGTGGCACTCCAGGGTGGGTGGGGAGTAGGGGTGTTGAATAAATTACTTGTAGCATGTCTCACAATCATTCTGGTTCGAACCTCAATGAAAAGAAGAGACGTCTGAAAGCTGCGATTTTATCATCTGATGATGCAAATAAATCCTTTTGCCATATGTGAAGCCATTGAAAGTATGAGTGGTGAAGTGAAGAATGTTTCACGACTCCAGGGCTGCCCTCTTTTGGTGGAGGGTGCACGGAGACAGCAAGCTATTAATCTTTTGAGATGTACTACTTTTGAAAACACTGAAGTTGCTGTCTGTATGCACAAAACATTAAACTCAAGTCGAGGGATCATCCGCGACAGAGCTCGTTGTCTGGCCGAGATGACAGAAGAGGAAATACTTGATGGCTCAAAGTACAACATGTCACTTCAGTGAAAGGTTTCAAAGAAAGGATGGAGAGAACATTGTCGCAACAAACGCATATTTGTTCATATTTGACTCAGCGTATGACCCAATATACACCAACTACTGAAATACCAGTGACTGTCAAACCATCAACTGAAATGTACAAGAAACAAAAGAAAAAACAAAACGGGAAAATTCTTGCGGAAACATCTTGCCTCTAGTGAACTCCATCAACTAAATAACGACGTACATGCACGTGTGTGTCTACTTGTCCTCATCCGTGCTTGTGCTGTGTTTATAGTACAAGCCCATTGAGACACTATAGATACCCCCAACAGAATACGTAAAGCCGAACTTGGGCAAAGTAAGAACAAGTACCATATTCTAACGTCTTTGGTTATGACGCAGGAAGGATATAGAACCACTGACATTCCTCGCTCTGGCCGGACGCTCTATCCACTACATCACGGAAGGCGGTTCCACATTTTGAAGCATTCGGGAAAACGTATTGCTAGTAAGCACCATTCTTATTTTTACAACAAAGTGGCGTACGACAACGCTGGCACTAAGCGCAGTATCATCTAAAGAATCCGTCCACTCAAGATTTCACAATCGCGCGAGCGGGTGTGTGTGTGTGTGTGTGTGTGTGTGTGTGTGTGTGTGTGTGTGTGTTGAGAGAGAGAGAGAGAGAGAGAGAGAGAGAGAGAGAGAGAGAGAGAGAGCGAAACTATTGTATGTGCCTTTTGGTGCCTGTAGGCATGTAACAGTTACACAGTCTTGAAGAGAAAATATATAGCTAATGCAAAGTATCTGACTGAGACCAAAATATCGCCCTGGAGTCGACAAGATCACTTTGTTGATGCATGTCATTGTATCCCAATTGCGTAGATCGATGATGATGATGTCATTCAATGGACTGTATGGTCCAAAATCGGTTATTCACAGACATACGCAGCAACTATGTGCATGTAGAAAAGGATGCATTCACTGGTCTTGTCCCTATGAATGCTAGGATTATGTTTGACAAACATTAGCAACCCGGAAATAACTCAACCCACGCCCATACCTGAAATATGCATGTTCGCAGGCATTTCAGAGACTTGTAAATATTGGGTAACACTTGCGTGAATTAACATAGCCCTGGTTACAGTCGATTTAAAACGCCATCGACACAGCAACGCGAACGACGTTATTGAAAAAAACCGAAACACAACGTCAGAAGAAGCGTTGTTGATTTTTCAGTTCAACATTGTATATGCTATAGCCTTATGAGTGTTATTGTCTTAAAGACAATCACGGAGTCAATAGACAGCACTACTTAACAGACAAGGTTCCATGGGCACCGAAGGACAACGATCATAATTATCTCTACCTCTTCACAACAATAACATTTCCATTGGTTACGAGGATTGATCAGATTTCAGTGAACAAAGAGCACTCGACGTCAGGATAACTTGACCTGCAAAAAGCTATGACTTGCTTTTTTTTGCATTCGAGCTAGAATTGAGTTGTTAAAAATTAAACGAAATTGCAATCAATATCAATCAATATTTTTCTAAATTGGTTTGGGCCAAGGCATCATTTACTGAAAGCGCAAACGTTGATTTGTATGAATTGAGATGGATTGTCAGTTAGATTCATACCTCAGATAACCCGATTGTGTAACGGATATGATATTGTACATGGCTATAAATGGTGAAAAACTGTTTCTCGATTCAAGATAACTTTACAGCATTTCCGGATATACATTCTTCGCATCGGCGGCCATAAGCGTCTTCTGAGAACGATTTTGACCTCTGAAGATGGCATGCTTGTGCCAACCAATATGACATCTGACATTTGTTCAAGAGGTAAGAATGTATCTGCGTACAATTGAGAGTCCGGGATGGGAGATATTCCGGTAGCCGGACACTCTCATATGTGAAATATTGTTTCCCCCCTTAAAGCGTGTTCTACGTATACCCTACTTATCTTTTGTCCGTGTGTTGGGGAATGTCATCAAATAGCCACTCATCCTGACTGTGTTACAGTGGAAACTGCATCTACTGCAGGTTACATCCCGTCAGATAACTGGTACTATGTTTAAATCGGGATTTCATAATATATTATATGAATTATAGTCATATTTCTATGATGGACGTGTCCCAGCCTCCGTGCCCTAGTGGAAGAGCATTCGATTGATTTCTGAGCATATTTGCCAAAAAAGTATCGAAAGTTGATTTATGCCTATCGTTTCCGCTCGGTATGATTTTGTAAAGGCATCTTTAGTTCCTGACGTGGGGCCGCGGTTGGCCCAGTTGTCTAAGGCGCCGCAATTCGCTGTGCAGAGTTGTGTCTCTTGGGCACGCCAGAATCCTATGATCGTGGATTCGAATCCCGGTTATCACTGATTATGTTTCTAGGTTTGTATCCGTGCTCGTGGGTTTCACGAAAGTGGTAAACGTCTGAGACCTGCATCAGCTTTCCTCCTACATAAAGCTGATAAGCCGTGGCAAAAGTGGATAATGTTCAAAAGAAACGTTAAACCAAACTAGCTCACTCACTCCTGACATGGAGGCATATATTTGTAGGGAACATTATTATTTGTGTAGCTTGCTATGGGGTTCACTATATTTCGTCGTTTGCGATATCTTGGATATTGACCATTACATTACATTCTCACGAAATCCATTCTGTAACGGCTGACCCTTGGAACTAAAATGCGACATGTACATGTACATGTCTCTCCACCTAGTGACATCATAGTTTGTTCAAATCTCTGTGGTTTTATCATTCATTTATTAGAGCTATATTTTGGTAAATCACAAATCTCTTAAAATGATTGTATATTTACCCTGTGGAAGCTTTAACCGTGCATGATGTTTGATAGATGAATAATAATTTTACGTTTCCATTCAGTTAGGTATTCCCTTGCAATATTACTATCATAGACAAGTATTACCAACTGGCTACTCATGGCTACTCACCTTTTTTAGTTGTATCAAGCACTGGTTGTTTATTAATCCTTAACCAATATTACTGGCTACCATACAACTAACATCTAACTGTAGACAACCACCGGCTGATGGTTATCGCTGACCGACATTAACCGGGTTAACGTGACTTAAACTAACTCATTAAATCATCAAAATATTATTAGTTGGCTTAATGTGTTGTTAACTGGACTGTGAGTATTAACTTACACCAATTCGCGTTGATTGAAACTGACCCATGTCATTTTTTCAGTTACAAGCGGAGAGTTTAAATAACTCCGTTACATTGAGTGATTGAAAAATACGTTCAACGCACTCCGTCATGCCAAATCCTCTGATTGGTGTACAACAAATATTGACATATTGACAGTGAGTAAAACAATGATACCCGAGTACCTACATCCACCTTACTGGTTCTCAAGTTTATCTGATTCCAGCACAAGGCGATTAATTGAGTTTTCATGTCGTTCTGATAATGTGCAATCGGAAAAATAGATCGTTCATATGCATAGGGGGACATTTTATATTGTAGTTTAACCGTAACAAACCCATATTCAAATACAGTAGTAGCTTTAGGTTCTTCTTGGTAGAATCTCTCTTCGTATTGATTCTTTGGCTGTGGTTGTTTACGCCAATAGGAGTAATATCTTGATTTATGCGTGTAACACTGTGAAGTCGATATATTGCTTGATTTTTAAAGAGCGTGCGTAGTGATTTGTTCCAGGTTGATCGTGCGTGTCCGAGAGAGGCCCAGCCTGACATTGATTTACTGAGATACACTTGGGACACACAACGCGGGGGACATCATGCATCTCCTAAAGTTCCTTCTCCAGATACTTCTGTTCCAACTCAATCTTCTTAAGTAAGTATTTTACGTTTTCAAAAATATATTTGTATATATTTTTTATATTGATATTGTTCGCTAGTACTTACACGTGTTTTATGCATACCTTAGACCTCAAATCAATTCTGTCGACGTGTGTTGGTTTTTATTTGAAAAAGACATTATGTGGCTGCATTGTTTATAGGTGGTTATTTACAGACGTTGTGCATTGTGAAACAGTTTTTATTGATTGGATATGTATTAACTGAGATAGCATGTCATATACGACCCGAATTGATACTTGAAGAACATAAATAAGAAACTTGAAACCTAAAATCAGTATTTTTGATATACTTATTGTTAAGGGATCTTTCTTTTCTTTACAAAACAAAAACCGACGACCAGGGATCATTATCAAGAAGAGTTGCAGATCCTGGAACGACTAAGGGACAAACTGATGTGTCTTGGGGTTAGGGGTTTTGTCGCTTTTATATAATTCAACACGTGTATATTCACACATATATCAACATGAGCAAGGTTTTGTCGCCAGCCGATTTGTAAGTCATACAAACCAAAACTTGTAATTTCTGGAATCACAGATACTTCTCCTGAATTTGGAACCATCGAGCTTTCATGTATATTTTTACCATACGTTTGTAGCAAGTTGCTGTCATTCATATGAACATGTATTTGACTTTCCCTATGTTGACCGTTCTATATGTTCCCGTGATGTTTCATGTGAACAATGTTTTTGCTTGTGTTTGTGACGGGTGCCGCCGATGTGACAGGATACGCTCACCTTTTCACGAACACCAAGTATCCTCACTATTTGATAGTAGTTCATAAACACATGGTTGATGTTTATCGTTCTTATTGTCTGTATAATGATATACCATGCTACGACATTTAGAGGGAGTTTCCACTCCTACTTTCACACTGGTACATATATTTTTTCTAATGAACACAGGGTGACAGGGGATATCGGTAGAGCGGGATATTTTACTGTTCACGAACACCTGGTGTTCCTTTCATATAACTATCAACATCAGTTTGTATTTTACGGACCGCCTCCGTGGTCTTGTGGTAGAGCGTCCGCCCGGAGAGCGGAAGGTCCAGGGTTCGATCCCGGGCCGCGTCATACAAAAAGACGTTAAAAGATTGTACTTGTTGTTACCCTGTCTGGCGCTCGGCATTAAGGGGCTAAAACAAGGACTGGTCGGCTCGGAGTCAGTATACTGTGTCTGGGTGGGGTATTCATGTTAAACTGCGGCATGGTATCTCAGTGAGCTAGGGCTATAAATCGGCATCAGTCCGGACTAGTACAAGCAGCCACACACACACATACACGTGCATGCACGTCGCTATATAAGTGCAATAATCTTGGACGCGACGTTAAACCCAATTTCACCTCACCTTGTATTTTACGCCCCATGGAATATGTTTCGGCAGTGTTGAGTTGACTCCTTCAGGCGAGATGGCAACCTCTGGTCGTGGGTTCTCCAGGTTTGTGCTCCTGGGTTTCTCCAAAGTGACAAACGCCCACGACTTCACTTCGGGCTTTCCTCCCACAACAAGCCGACACGCGGTCCCTGTGGTATTACTGAAGTTATGTTCAAGGCGGTGTTGAGCCAAACCCACTCATCAGCTCTTTCTGCTTCTAAGCTGGCACATTAACCTACGAATACCTCGAAGCTGGCAACAGACATATCTATGCATAATGACTATTTCTAATAATACGGGTTTTGTCAGTTTATGTAGTATATGGTTTGGTTGTTGTTGTTGTTGTATTGTTGTTGTTTTTGTGTGTGTTTTCTGGGTTTTTGTTTGTTTGTTGTTTTTGTTGTTGTTTTGTGTGTGGTTGTTTTTTGTTTTTTTTTATTTGTTTTTTTTTTTGCGGGGATGTATCCCCGTGGGAACCAGGGTTAAATAAGAATGTGTCCTCAGCAAGCCATTGCTGGTCTTAAAAAAGGCGACCGAATTGGGCACATTGTTGGGAGTCCGGTGGTTGAGGGCGACGGAGCCGGCCAAAGTGCTCCTCAGTCCAACACACCACTTCGACCCTAACGTTGCCGAGACGGGCGGTAGAATGGGCTCGATTCTTTCAGTCGGCTGGTCATGTCATGCGCTGTGCATAAAGTCTCTCGCACTAAATTTCGATATCTAAAAATAAATTTATTCTAAAAATCTATTCTATATGTATGAATCTATAAACTTGCTTAGAGCCCTATGCCCAGAAGGCGGTGGCTCATGTGCCAATCAAGTGATGCTGAGCTCTATATTCTGTGCGTCTTCAATTGATTGTCATGGGCCAAACCAGCCTGACCTTTAATTTGGTCGATAGATTGTGTCGAATTTGCTGGAGTATACCATTCCTTTGTCCTCGGTCTTCGCAGCTTGGAGATCCGCTGCAGCATAAGACTGTCTTTGTTGACATTCCATGGGGGTGGGGAAAAGGGGTGCAGAATTATTTCTTCGACATGGCTTCCCAACACCCTGGTTAAAAAAGACGACACATACATGTAGATACTGATAATACCTCGTCTAACGAGAGCACATGCAACCGATCCGACCGATCCGACAATTGGTCACGTTTCTTGGTAATCAAAGCTTAAGACAAAGAACCAATCAAAGTGAATCCATTTGCAACCTCCAAGGGTATCACGGGAATCTGCGGGGAGGTTACAAATGTTACCAAGCTTCGTTCTGGCTCTCCGTGAAGACAACAACCTTTAAGTCTGCTCAAATTAAAAGAGATTGTCAATATCTAGGTTGTTGTCTCAATGCACAAGACACTGAACTGATGTAAGGGCATTGTCCGGGATAGAGCATGCTGCCTGTCTGGCATGACCGGAGATGACATTGCCAAGGAACTTGACCAACAGTCCGTCACATCTGTCAAACGATTCACTGTAAAAAGGGGTGGTGTTGCGGAACCAACCAACACCTACCTCTTAACCTTAGCCCCGAAGAACGACTATCCCTCAATCTATCAAATCTGGTTACTGTAACATCGGAGAGCAGGTGTATATCCCCAATCCACTCCGGTGCTACACCTGCCAAGCGTTTGGACAGATCCAGGTCATGCCATGCCTCTGTTGTTTGTTACCGCTCTGGTAAGAAGGATGCGGAGTGTTCATACTGTGGTGGGAACCATACTTCTTCAAAATCCGGTCCTATGTGTAAACGCGAGTCCAAAATCATTAGAATCAAGACCGAACAAAATGTCTCGCACCACGAAGCCAAGAGAGGGTTGAAGGTCTTACTTACAAACAGTTCCACTCTTCTCCTACCCTGCTGCTGCCTCTCGTTATCCTGTTACTTCTGCCTCTATCGACTGCCAGACTGATCTGACTTAGGTCTCGTCTGTTCAGCCAGTTCCAAATGCTTCACTCCAAAACTTCGTCTGAAACACCCCAAAAACCAAAAACTGTCAAAAATGTTGAGTCTTAGACTCCAAAACCAGTTACAGAGCCAGAATCAGAAATTGTTAAACTTACAAAGAAAGAAAGAAAATTATTGGGGGGGAAACGCAGCAATAAGAACAGCTGCAAACATCAACACCAAGGACCACTTCTCCTTTACAGGTCCATAACTCATTTTGTCCTCTGGACATGGAGGTAACTCCATCCACACATGAAACCAATAGGAGTACCACCAAGTCGTGATCACGTTCGCGTGACATTTCACCTGCGGAAGCATCACCATGAGTCCACATAACATTATACAATGGAATTGCAGAGGTCTTAAGAAGAATTTTTATGAGATTCAACTTATAATTCAAGAATTCAAGATTCCGAGAATCCGAGAAAAATACCTAAAAAAACGTACAGTTCTTACCACTCATTTTCCCCTCCTTGTGATAAAGCTACAGGAGGTTATTCTATCCTGGTGAAGCAGGGCTTAATCCATAGCCCTGTTCCACTCAACACTACTCTTCAAACTGCTGCTGTCCCTGCTACTTTGTTGTATCGTTTTGGGCGATTTAAACGGTCATAATTCCCTATGGGGAGTACTGATACAAATAATAAGGGAAAAATCCTTGAAAATTTTATCTCCAACAATGATTTATGCATCTTCCATGATGGTACTAACACGCATTTGCATCCTGCCACTGGCACATACTCTGTCCTTGGCCTTTCACTGGCAGATGAAAATATTTTAAACGAATTCGAATGGTGGGTCCATGATGACCTTTGTTGAAGTGAACTTTTAATCCGTCTGACGAACCCCCTTAACAAGGTGGAACTTTACAACGGCCAATTGGTCTTTATTCCAAACACACTTTTAACAACTAAGTCTGAAATGGCTAACAAACTTCCTCATCATCAAATTATAATCCCCACTATCAGAGGTTCCAAAAATAGCAGGAAATGAAAAAAGTGAAATTTAACTCTGACAATGGTGAGGACTACAATGAAACATTTTCACTCCATGAATTACATACTGCCCTGGGGCAAGCTCATGACACTGCAGAAAGAGCCAACAACATACATTATCAGTTCCTGAAACACTTGCCCGTTTCATGTTTGGAAATGCTGCTTTCTATATTTGATGAAATAGGGACAAACGTAAATTTCCCCCTTCGTGGCACAATGCTATTATCAATCCTATTCCAAAGCCTGAACGGCATATTGGACCGTAATCTCACATTCTTACAACACATCAAATATCTTAAAGCAAAGTGCCTGAAGGCTCTCTTGTTAAAAGTCGTTTCAAATTCCGCGTGGGCAGGGGGATCAGACAACCCCCTTCACCTGTACAGATTATTAATACGCTCCAAACTAGACTATGGTTCCATTGTGTATGGTGGAGTCTGCATAAACAGTTTACAAAAAATAGACACAGTACACCACCAAGGCCCAGGGCTCTGTCTTGAAGCTTTCAGGACCTCTCCCGTGGACAGTTTGTATGTGAAGGCTGATGAACCCTCACTCGAACAGCGCCGCATTAAACTTTCACTGCAATACATCACTTAATTGTTTTTTCCATCTTCAATAGAGAACCCGTTTCGAAATCTGTCAAACCTTGTGCCACTAGTTGGAATCAGAATTCAACAACACATCACCTGCAGCTAAAATATATCTAAATATTATAATCTTACCGTCCCCTGTCTTCTCGTCCCTGGCAGATGGTGAAACTAGAAGTAGACCTCACTCTAACCCAACTAAAGAAATCCGGATTTGGGGTTTATCAACAAGCATACAACCAGAGATGTCACGGATCCATTTTACAGGCGGGTCCAAGGGTGGTGGTAAAGTTGCAAGTGCTGTCTATATTAAAGGCTTTGATCTATATTAAACATTAAAAAAACAATCTAAAAATTTCATCATCTTCTCTGATTAATTGTCTTGCCTTCAGACACACAAAAGCGTCTCCTCAAATCACCCCGTAATCCTAGGCATTTTAGAACTTTTCAATGATCTTTCTACTGGCCATTGTGACATTGTTATGTACTGGTTACCAAGTCATGTAGGCATAACAGGTAACTAAAAAGCTGCAGGTGAAACAGCTCTTGACAAATTTGACAAACCAATCTCCACAACTTATCCGATACAGTTATTTCAAATCAACCATCAAGAGTTCTACTCGGGATCTCATGCAAAAGAGGTGGAACACCCAAGTAGGAATCAATAAACTTCACGAGTTAAAACCTACAATCGGTCATACCTACTTGGGTTGTCAGTCAAAACATCACGAGGTCGTTTTACGACGATGTCGTATTGGCCATAGCTGGTTTACCATGAATATCTGCTTAAGACAGATGAGGACGAACCTCCCAAATGTATCCCTTGTGATGAAAGGTTCACCGCCAAGCACAAATTGCGTGACTGTGTGGACTTTGTAATTGCAAGGGATTTACGTTATCAAAGCGTAAATCTGAAAGATCTCTTTTCCCGTGTCAGCGGGCATCTCATCCAGTTACTTGAAGGAATTCGGTCTGTATTATACATTTTAAATATGTATGTGAATAGTTAAATGCTTGTTTTTAAATTTGGTTTGATGCTATTACCAACTGACATTATTGAAGGTTCTGTCCAGGAGGTTGAAGTACGGTAAATGCATCGTCCCCCTGTGTGACACGTAATCCTATCATAATCGATGTAACTATCATCAACCAGTGATTTAAGCCAACTCATTGCTGAGTATTTTTTAATATTGGCTAGTATTGTGCACAACCACCAGTAGCTAAAGTGATGACGTACATCCTGCTGGGGTATCATGCAGGAAGTCCCCATGATCCCCAGCGAGGTGGCCTAGCTTTGGTTACTGGTGGCCTAGCTTTGGTTACTGGTGGCCTAGCTTTGGTTACTGGTGGCCTAGCTTTGGTTACTGGTGGCCTAGCTTTGGTTACTGGTGGCCTAGCTTTGGTTACTGGTGGCCTACAGTCCGTGTTTTAAAACTGTATACATGATATTGCTATGTAAGTTTGATTAAATGTGTTTTTAAATATACATATGCATTGAGGACTCACTTGTGAAAATATCGACTTAGTCTCGTCGCTATATGGCTGAAATAATGCTGATGCGACGTTAAACTTTAACTCACTCTGTCACTTATTTCCATAATTTCAGATACAGGAAAGCAACATATGTTACATTATTGTAACAGTGCAGTACAGTATTATATTTGACTTATTATAAACAATTAGATTTATTATGCATTATTACATATTGCTGAAAATGTCATCCAAAACTATACAAGCTAGCTGTGTATATGTACTAGATACATACTGTAGTCATAAAAAGATAGCTAATTAGAACATCACAATATACAACAAGTACATGTTTTGATATGCATTGAAAACATTTCTTTTGGGGGGGGGGGGGGGGGGGGGTGATCAATTGACTTGCCTTTACATGTGTTTGTGACTGTGATGCCACCTGTGGGACAAGATACGCTCACCCTCTCGCGAACACCTGGTATCATTACTATTTGATAGTAATTCATAAACACATGCACATTATATAGTCTGAATTGTACAATCGACTTTGTAAAGAGATTTCCAATGGATACTGAAAGGGTTTTGTTGCTTTAATTAAGGATAAGGTACATTAAATATAAGGTACATTCAGCAAATTACTTTCTTTAAACAGTAAGTGTTTTATGTAGTATATGTTTATGCCTGGTTCATTTTGGCTGTCATGCTGTCATACACAAAATAATCTGTTTTTATTTTAGATATTCTGAGGCTGTTGAGTTGCTGGGATTTAGGCGTCTGGAGAGGTATGACAACGTCGTCATTCTCCCCAACGTCCCCCTTCTGGAGACGCCGTCGGCACACAAAAGTGTATCAGCGTGCGGCAGGGTGTGCGTCTCCTACCCCGACTGTTCACTGTTCTCCTACAACAGAATCACTTCCGAGTGCAAATTATTCCCTTTGGCAGTCTATCCTGCCGATACATTCACGTTAACGGCTACAACGTCAGGACTGCAATATTACGCATACAATAAAGGCAAGTTTAAAAATTAATGTATTTAACGTTCAGCCGTTAATTAACAAATTTGCATGGCTTGTTCCACACAATTAAAAACATCGTGGTAATTAACAAGTGACAATTAAAGTTATATTTGGTCTTTATTTAATAGGCATTAACATTACTTGCAGGGGGTGATTTGGTATGAAGACATGCCAACATTAGTCTCACGAGGAGTTACTTTACCCAGGTCGTATAATTTACATGTAATTCATGTACTATAACTGCTCTCGGGCCAACCGGTTCTCCTTAATTCCACGTGTCATCTCTATAGGATTTCATACTGGAACTGCATTCACTTGTTTCACTTGTGCACGTGACTATCACATTACACAACATAAACTCGTGGTAGGTATATCCTCATGTACATGTTGCTTTGTATCAAATTGTAAACTGACTTTCTTATAAGTCCATGCAAAATAAGGTCGGTACGTTGTTCACATGGACATTCTGCACCTTGCATTGTCGCCCGAGGAATGATGTAGGTTACGGAATTAGACGAGTGGACCCGAATGGCTCTGCTTGTAGCAAACAACTTCTGACGGTCAATTCGCTAAACAATATGACACACAAACACTCGTGTAAAAATCTGCATTGATGAATGCAGCTCCCAGATGGTCAATACAAGTTATCAAAGGTTGGCTTATCGTTCTTACTCATGTTATTCCGTATGTCATATTGTAAACCCTTTGAAGATTCAGTTTAGAATTGATCTACAGCAACCAATGCTTCTCCTAAGAGGCGGATATCGGGATCGGGTGGTCAGACTCGCTGACTTGTTGATGCATGTCATCGTATCTCATTTGCGTAAATCGATGCTCATGAGATCACTTGTCTTGTCCGGACTCGATTATTTACAGACCGTCGTCACATAGCTGGAAAATGGCAGAGTGTGGAGGCTGACTACGTTAAATGTGAATAAAAGCGATAAAGCCATTTTCATAATTACAAGAAATCTCAAAATCTCTAGAAAAGAAAGCAGGGTCCATTTCTACGATATCTGTTTCAAATAGTAATGATACCAGATATATAGGCACTGTTTGGTTTTACGTAAACATTGTGTTACAACAACGATTCATAAACACATGCATATGATATAGTCTGAATTGTACAATCGACTTTGTAAAGAGATTTCTATTGGATATGGAAAGGGTTTTGTCGCTTCATTACATAAAGGTACATTCAGCAATTTACTTTCTTTAAACAGTAAGTGTTCTATGTAGTATATGTTTATGCCTGGTTCACTTTGGCTGTCATGCTGTCATACACAAAATAATCTGGAATATACAAGGTATAAAGGCTATGTTTGGTTTTACGAAAGCACGGTGTTACAACAACGATTCTACTTTCAGATTGGTGTCCAGTGACGAACGGCTTCATATTGGACAGGGAGACAGACCTATGTTTCTACGTTTCAGAAGCGAAGAAGAACTGGGCCGATTCTATTACTGCATGCCAAAACATAGGGATGGGAGCTCGACTTATGATCATTAAAGATGTCGATAAACAACGAAAGATCACAAGCAGCCTTGCGAGAGATAGCAGTAAGTTGGCATATCTATATGTTATGCTGACATTCGTATTCAGTGAAATTGCTGGTAGCCATTGACACATTTGAAAACCCGGTTTGGAATCCCTACATTAATTACAAGGTTTAAAGCTCTTTCTTGTTGTCAACCAAAACCATATGGCCAGAATATCGCGAAAAGGCGGCATGAAACCATACTCAACCAATCTAATATCTCGCTCTGATGTTTCGAATGAAGGACCTCATAACTTCAGAACTTAAAACATTACAATTACTGTACCATCTAAAATCTAATAGGGAAATGAAACAAATAACAGTGAAATTTAAGACAATGACCAACCAGTTAATAATAGTTGAACAGAAAGCTTATTAATAATATTTTTTTCAAAAGTTAATTTAGTTTACTAAATGTGTTTTAAGACGATATACGAGGGCACGAGGAACCATTGGGCTGACAATCGCTTAGCATATATGCATCCGTTAGACGCTCTAGGATCCGGTGACCTTTGGGTCAAATCATAGATTCTGCGAGTTAATTTCTTATTCTTTTCTTTTTTAATTTAAATGAATTTAACGCTATTTACATTATTTCATTGATATTATTGTATTCCAATTCACCCAGTTGAGTCTCTTGTCAATGAAAAAAATGCTTATTTTCATTCGCCACAGATCTAGAGTTCACCCTTGGCTTGGCATTCAATATATTTCTATATATTTCTATATATTTCTTACAGCTGTGAAAAATGAACATGCCTGGATTGGTGGATCTGATCTTGACACCACGGACGGTGTGTACGAGTTTCACTGGATAGACGGGACAAAGGTTGTGAACACATTCTGGGGTGGATCTCAACCTAACGGACAACTGTACAACGAGTACTGTCTCGGTATAAACAATGCCATTCTGTATGACCGGGTTTGTGCCCACCTGTACCGATACTACTGTGATATTCCGAACTAATAATATGAACTTACTGTCATTGTACAGCAAAAATTCTTGTGACCTTTTCATGCTAAAAAATATATTTTTCACCTCCTTGTGCTTGCAAGATATTTTTCAAAATTAATGTTATTTTTAGATCAGGCTCCGAGTTCAGTTGATTTACGATGAAATACGATTTTTGCCAATACACACACGTAGGGGCCCGGATACGAATAGGTCCCCAACAGCCTATTCGCTTGTGAGAGCCGACTAAATCTGATCGGGTTCTCAGTCTTAGGGACATCGATGATTGCGTGTCATTGTACTCCTGAGCCGCGGACGTTGCTTAAATCAACCTCTGGTTTGTATGGCCCAGACTCGATTATTAAATAATTGTCGTTATATAACTGGAATATTTCTGAATGCGGCGTAAAACAACACCCGCTCTATCGCTTGCTAATTCAGGGCTTGATACTGCATAGTCATTATAAGTACAACTTTGACATTTATTGTTGGAATCCACATGGTCCTCAACAAAACGCATTCAAGACATTTGTCAATGATGTTTATGCAATTCAATCCATTATACGTCGTATTTGGAAACTACTCCTTCAATATTCATTTATATTTTGTTTCAAATCTATGTATTGCTTTTGTTTAACAATTCACGATGAACTAATGACTTATTTTCAGAAATAGTGTCATAAATAACTACTTTTTATTAACATGTGTTATTTATATATATTTTACGATCTGGTGATTATTAGCTATACAATACAATTACAAAAAGCTGATAATAATACCATTGACAGACAAACACTATGTAAAATTTGAAACATCCTCTCAACATTAATTGTTTAAGCAAAGAACTTTAGGAAATACCACATTTAAGGTCAATGTGTTAATTGAAGAAATCTGACCAAAGTATGAACGTGCATTATCAACTTTAGGCTTGGCTGAACCTGAAGACATATGCCCCATGGATCAAGGAATGATCCATTTGTACCGGATTCCAAAGCTCCATGAACATACATACACATTAAAGGGTATAGATTTGTTGGCTCTAGAAAAAGTACCACCAAATGCCTGTCTCAAAGAGTTACCATAATCCTTAATGCAAACTTAAGGAAGGACTTTCTTTAATGTTATAGACTCTGGACTCTGATTATGATATTGGTTTTGTCGCTTTAATATATATTCACAGAAAGTATTTGACACAGGTGGAAAAAAATCCATTTAGCTTCTGAAACACTATAACGATTTGTTGCCATATCACAGCAGATCCTGAATTTTCAACTTTACACACCACTATCCAACACGACAAACTTAAGGAAAAGCTTCATTCCTTGATCCATGGGGCATTTGTCATTAAACGTGGAGACCATGGATATAGTTACATCTCTGTCGTCAAAGGCTTTGGACAATTTGTAAAAAAAATGAAAGCAAATGTTTTGTGTTGTATCTAAAGCTGTTTTAAAGAAGTGCTTGTATGGATTCCATAGCTGTATAAAAGATGTGCTTGTATTAAATAGATGAAGTATTCTAAAGCTGTATTAAAGATGTGCTTGTATAGTATCTTAAGCCGTATAAAAGATGTGCTTGTATTAAATAGATTGAGTATTCTAAAGATGTATTAAAGAAGTGCTTCTGTAGTATCTTAAGCCGTATAAAAGATGTGCTTGTATTAAATAGATTTAGTATTCTTAAGGTGTATTAAAGAAGTGCTTGTGTAATATCTTAAGCCGTATAAAAGACGTGCTTGTATTAAATAGATTTAGTATTCTAAAGCTGTATCAAAGAAGTGCTTGTGTAGTATCTTAAGCCGTATAAAAGACGTGCTTGTATTAAATAGATTTAGTATTCTAAAGCTGTATTAAAGAAGTGCTTGTATAGTATCTTAAGCCGTATAAAAGATGTGCTTGTATTTAATAGATTTAGTATTCTAAAGCTGTATTAAAGAAGTGCTTGTATTGTATTCTAAAGCTGTATTAAAGAAGTGCTTGTGAAGTATCTAAAGCTGTATTAAAGAAGTGCTTGTATTGTATTCTAAAGATGTATTAAAGAAGTGTTTGTATTGTATTCTGAAGATACATGCCAGAATTGGTTGTATTGTATATAATGCTGTATTAAAGGTGTAGTTCTATAGTATCTAAAGCTACATTAAGAAGTGCCTCTTTTGTATCTAAAGTAGGGAGGTAAAAACATATATCTTTACATTTGTATGTTTTCTTCATATTTGTATGTTTTCCTCACTTTTGTATGTTAACCGTTATGTAAAGAAAGGGATAAGAGTGAGTGAGTGAGTATGGTTTTACGCCGCTTTTAGCAATATTCCAGCAATGTCACGGCGGGGGACACCAGAAATGGGCTTCACACATTGTACCCATGTCGGGAATCGAACCCGGGTCTTCGGCGTGACGAGCGAACGCTTTAACCACTAGGCTACCCGACCGCCCCGAAAGGGATAAGATCAAACGAGAAGAAACTTCATCGTTTAGTTTTAGTTAATCTTATGGAATACACAGAGGTGTTTGCTGGCTATAATTATGAAGCTACAGACCATTTTTTTTATTGAAACCATTGAATAAATAACAACTAATTCGTTTAAGATATTGAAGCCACGCTTTCTTATTATCTTCATGGTGAAATACAATTACATATATGTGCATTAATGTTAGTAATAAGCCATACTATGTTTATGTCTGATGCTTTTCTCAACTGATGTTTGTATCAATGAGATCTATTAATAAATAACAAGAACACATCGATTCATAACGGTCATTAAACATCCAGAACAGGTTAACAGGTTTAACAGGCACAGGTTGCAATGCTTGGAGGAAAAATGAGTCTCTGGTACATTTAGGAGTTTGGGCATAATATTAATTGGCAGTGCAAGAGAATAACCAGTCTAGATTATCCGCCGAAACAGATTCCATTTGGCGTAAAGGGCAAACTAGTTGTTTGAATTATTTGGATGGAGTGAGTATTGTTTTATGCCGCGTTTGCAATATTCCAGCAATATCACGTCGTGGGACACCAGAAATGGTCTTCACACAGTGTACCCATTATATGAATGGACCACTGAAAACCTTTTTGAAAATTATATGAATGGGCCACTGAAAACATGTCCGATTCGTGCCATTTTACATAATGTATCACGCAATTTCCCGCATGTGGATACGCTTGCTTCTCGTTATCTTTAAGTTGACAGGAGAAGGGGCATTCCGAGAAAACAAATGTATGTAGGTGTATACACGTGCGTGAGACATGGCAGGAGCACGTGTCGGGTGCTGACAGACAAAGATCGTTATACAGCAAATACTGCATTCGAACCCACGACCAGCGGACGGATAACGAAGACAAGTTTAGTCCACTGCGCCCGTAAGTGAGCGAGTGTGATTTAATGCAATATTCCAGCAATGATGACGGCGGCGGACACCGGAAATGGGCTTCGTACATTGTTCTGGGAACTTTTTTAACCCATGATTTCGGCGGGACGAGCGAACGCTTTTACAACTAGATTACAAGGCCGTTCCCTCTTACTAATTTGATTGACATTGACAGCGTTTCAAAACTAGCCAGCCTGTCAGAGATTTCAAAGATCAAGGAAAAACAAACTTGCTACTCACTAAGCAGGTAAGGGATCAATATAAGGTTCGATATCAGCACTGTTTGAATGATGCAAGGAAGTGGATCTATGCACCGACTGGGTGCTTTCTCTTGTCCATTTCGCTAATCGGAAATTCATTCACAATGCAATGACGGTGCAAGTCGATTGTTGCTCCGAAACAACACGATCACAAACTGCCAGTCAGGAAATGCATATAATGGCTGTAAAAACAAGGGCTTGGTACGAACCTTAAACACCCCTTTTGGTTTACGTATATATAGATGCATACGGCTAGAAGAACAACAAATTGTATTGAGTCTGGAAATATTTATTTGACTGGGATCATGAATGTTCAAAGTACACAAGACACTGTGTCCGGTCTTTTCAGCCTTTGCTTAGCACTTATTGTCAGGAAACAAAGTATTTTTTTTGTAATTTACATGTTTTAGCTTCTTGCGAAATAGATGTTGGCTATGCCATACTGGTTTTATTGTTTTTCTCAGGACCATTAACAAAGCACTAACTAACCTCGTAAAGAGTCTGTCTGTATCTGCCTGTAAAGCTCTTTAGACCAACAGCTATGCAGATGTAAATAGTCGTTGTGTAATAGTTGTTAACTTAAATGATATTGGTACATGTAGATAAGTGATCATGTGATGCCGAGTGATGCCGAGTACTTACACCGTCGTCTGCCACTGTCGTCTGCCCTGAGAGCGGAAGTTCGGTGGTTCGTTCCCCGTCCGTGCCTATCAATAAAACGCTAAAATGGGGTGATTGTTATTACCATAACTGGCGCGGGGCATTAATGTGATGAAACAAGGACTGTTCGGCTAGTAGTCAGTTTACTGACTGTGTGGGGTATTCATGTTAAACTGCTGCATGGTATCTCGGTGGATTAGCACTATAAACCGGCTTTACATTACAAGCAGACACATAGGCAAGCACACGTGCAATAATCTCGAAATCGAAGTAAACTCGCATCCCCTCGCCTCGCGTCGCCTAGCCTCGCATCGCATCCGATGGTCAGTTTCGTTGACTTGGTTGATACATGTCATCGTTTCCCAGCTGCGTAGATTGATATTCATGATGTCAATCACTGGATTGTCTGGTCAGGACTCGATTACATAGCTGGAATATTGCTGAGTGCGGCATTAAACAACAAACAAACAGACAGACACACTATGGCATGCAAGCACTCAGTAACCACACACGCAACCACATCCGCAACCATGTACACGTACACGTAGACGCTCACAAAGTAGGATGCCCTTGAAGATAGGTGTGCCCTTGCCAGAGTGAGGCACCTAATCGCCAGCACACAAAGTCAGAGATCTAACCCACTCAGCCACCGAGGCTTCCACAAAAATGAAAGTCCGACAACTGGAAGTCTAGATAACGTACTAAGTGGGTTAGATCGCTGACTTTGTGTGCTGGCGATCAGGTGCCTCACTCTGGCAAGTGTGGCTTCGAATCCCGGACGGGACTCAACCTAAAAAAGTACTAGAATCTGTACTTTACTAAGAAAGTGTTATCCCAAATATAACATTTGTTACTTACGGAACCAGGCTGGTATTTCCAGGCTCGATCATCGCGCCACAACCGACAGGCATAGGAGCCATTTACGGCAAGAATGGGTTGCTGAAGACCTATTCTACCCCGGATCTTCACGGGAATACAATGCTAGTGGTCAAGTGAAGCCATTTGTACCATCCATTACTTTGAATTATGTTCTTGGCGTTACGGATGGAGGAAGGATGACAACAAGTGTGAAACCACAGAACCCTCTTCTCTCTTGTCCACGTCAGGAACTGAGCACATATCTCATTTTACTGCCGTTATAAAAAGGTGTCCATCTTACATTTTTTTTATTTTCGGAGTCAATTCACATAAGTCAAACGCCACAGTGTGGACGGAAATCAATACACTGCAGTTTCCAAACCGTATAGCCGATGTTAGTAATGCCCAACAAAACATTACGACGCGATAGACCATCATGTGTGAGACAAATCAAGAGTGAAGGAGTTAATAGCTCGCTCAAATGATGCATTGTAACTGCTAAGAAAACATTTAGGTTAACAAATATTGGAAAACAAATACAAAACACGTCAAATTATGCAATTTATATTTTTTGTTAATAAAATCAAAATCTCTTCTCGGTCAGACATATTGATAAAGGTGAACATTTATGTTCATGTATGTTACTTATTGTACACAAAGGATGAAGGCGACATTTTGTAAGAGGCAACTAACGGGATCGGGTGGTCAGGCTCGCTGATTTGATTGATGCATGTCATCGTATCCTAATTGCATGGATCGATGTTTATGATGTAAATCACTGGATTGTCTGGTCCAGACTCGGTTATTTACAGACCGCCGTCATATAGCTGGAATATTTCTGAGTGTGGCGTTAAACAACAACCAACCAACTATATGCCTTTCAAAGACTGGATCGTCCTTCGTCCCAGTCAGTTTCAGATGTGAGAATGAGAAAGAAACCTGTATCATTTAGCACTTCGACTTGTATTTAATTGTAGACTATTTTAATGATAGACATAAGACAAAATCACTGGCACGAATGTTACCCAATCGCTTAGCGATTTTACAACATTAATACATTGGTGAAATTAGATTCTTCTCCACGGGAGGCGGCAGATGCAAAGGGAAACAACTCCCATCTAGAGTATAGACCAAGATAAAGCTACCATAGAGTTAGGTTACATAATCTTCAGGAAAAGACACAAGCTGAGACAAATCGAGAAAATCGCAATGCCGTCTAGCGTTTTGAAGCCACGCAGATGATGATGATCATCAGGTTGTTTGCATTTTAAAATATCTATAATATTCGCATTTGCTAGAAACATCTACAGTAGATCTCCATGATTGAAAGTACTTGTCAAAAAGCGTCTGCCTTATTTTCGATATGAACATGGCATAACTTCCTTATAAATACCACATAACAATTAACCCATTTTATTACTGACACCATGTGAAGTAAATAGATACCACAACTTGTCTCTACAGACTGAATCGATTGCTTAAGAAAAGTCTACAAATATAGCGTACAATTTTCCACGTTTACGTTGAATATACCTATCCATAGGAGTGAGTGAGTGAGTGAGTGAGTGAGTATGGTTTTACGCCGCTTTTAGCAATATTCCAGCAATATATCGGCGGGGGACACCAGAAATGGGCTTCACACATTGTACCCATGTCGGGAATCGAACCCGGGTCTTCGGCGTGACGAGCGAACGCTTTAACCACTAGGCTACCCGACCGCCCCTATATCCATAGGAGCCTGGAGGATAAACATATTATCAGTGGAAGAGTAAGCTTGTCACCTTGTCGAAAATCCGCTTGCTCTGCCTCGATCTTATGAAGTATATCCGACCACAATACCAAGCGTTTAATAATAATGCTAATAAATATCTTACTGAATATACTGGTAAGCATAATCCCCCTATAATTTTCAACATCCGCACTGAACGTTCCTTGGGAATTGGTACTAGCTATAGTGTCTAATATTTTGGAAAGTAAACGGTATCCATTAT